CATAGGCTGATAATGAAGTATGAGTAACTTTCATCACTATATTTTTGGTTCTAAAATTGGCTCAAATTTTGATGAAAAGCACAGCTATGTTGACGTAAAGGCAGATTCAACTGTTGATTTATTTTCTGCTAGTAAATTTAGCTAAAGCATAATCCATATTCTCGTATAATTATTAAAAAGGTTATTTTTAGTTTCTACGTAATTCCATTGTTTGCAGCTGTTTGATTTACTGATTCTAATAGTTCAAAAGATTATTGAGATGTGTATATGCAACTTAGGACGCGTTATCTTGAATTATTGAATATTTTCAAACAATCATCTTGATATATATTTATATACATAATAGTATGATAAGATGAAAAACAACGAATATGAATGATAAGTGTCACCCACACACTCGTAAATCGGTGTAGAGGAAGAAAGAGATACAGATATTAGTAGTTTTAAAATTAATAATCAACTATTGCCTTATATATGCCCGTGACAATACAGTTTCTCGGTTTTGTGTAATAAAAAAGATGATTTTTTTCGATCATGTATTCAATTAATACGTATTATTTTTATATACTATTAAATGTATTTATAATATGAATTATTACTTAGAAGATAGTTATAAGTGACTGGGTAGTATTCTATCAAACTATAGTGGAGAAAAATTTTACAAAAGATGACCATGATTTGCGTTAAGGTGAATTTATTGAAATAATTCTACGGACAGTATGCATTATAATTTTTGTAATTTAATTCGATTGCTCTTTTATATGTGTGAATCACTACTAGTATTTTATAGGTGATGATTCAAACGACTAAGAATATATTAGTAAGACGGTTAGAAACAAAGAGAACTCTAAGTTTTTTTTCTTAGTTCCTTTATCATTATCATTTATCGATTTCGTCGATTCGAAGTTATCTTTTCTAAACACCTTATTAATATATTCTTACTCATTTGAATCATTATCTGTAAAACGTCTATAGTAATACACTCATACGGTAGTCTATCGTTTTGATATAATTTTGATAATGTTTGCTATAAAAAAAATATTTAACTTTGCAGAAGGTCATGATGCGTAAGTCTAAATTTGTATTAAGCTTGTTTATTCAATTATTGATAATTCATTTTTGTAAACAACAGTCACATTCTTTATGAATCACTATACTTTTTTCTTAAGTATTGATTTCTAATGAGTATAAAAATGTCCTATGTTACTTAGCGCAAAAATATGAATAATATTGTTTCGGTTGAAAAGAGAAAAATAAACACTAGTGATATACACCTCTGCATATGAATGAGTCAATCTAAGACAACCTATTAATATATTGTATGCTATATAAATCGAAAAACTGTGTTGTATTATTTAGAATAAATATTATAATTAGTGTAAGGAATAATAAAGATGAACAATAGTAATTCAATAGTATATATTTGTATTGATTTTTTTCTTCTAGTTTTGATTTAAAATCGATTAATTAAAAGTTAAGAATACAATGCCATTAAAAACCTTTTTGACTAATAAACTTAAATCAAAAAGATTTCGTCTTAATGGTCTTGTACCATCATCACGTTTGCCAAAGAAAAGAGAATTATGTCAAGCTTTTTGTGATCATATACTCTATGCAGCTGATCAACTTCCACCAAAAGTTGATCTTCGATCCTATATGACGCCTGTTGAAGATCAATCAAAAACTGGCAGTTGGTAAAGAAATCTTTAACATATAAATAATAATTTTATTTTTTATTTATTTATTTAGTGCAGCTAATTGTCTTGCTGGTGAGAAAATGATTTCCTTCTCAATATGTACTGATACCATTTATTTTTAGGAGCTTATGAATATTTAACAAAGAAAGCTAATGGTCTTGATACTGATGTTAGCCGTTTATTTATTTACTATAATGCTCGTGTAAAAGATCAAAAAACAGAAAAAGTTGTAGATACAGGTTGTACAATGACAAGTGCTATTGAGGCATTAGAAGAATTTGGTACTTGTCTTGAATCAACTTGGCCATATGATCTTTCTCGAGTCAATACACGACCACATGAAAAAGCTTATAGAGAAGCTAGAAATCATCGAATTACAGAAGCATTTCGAATTAATGTTAACTTATATGAAATGAAATCTTGTCTTGCACAAGGTTTTCCATTTGCATTTGGTTTGAGATTATATGCTTCATTTGATAAAGCAGCTACAACAGGTGTTGTACCAATACCAAAAACAGGAGAAAATAGACGAAAACAAAATGCAAGGTTGATATTTAGAATTGTTATTCAAGAAAGAGATTTCACTTTTTTGTTTTGTTTTTTTTTGTTGATAGTCATGCATTATTAGCTGTTGGCTATAGTGATCAATCAAAAGCGTTTATTGCACGAAATTCATGGGGAGAAAATTGGGTAAGTGCTATATTACATTTCCATTCTGAAAGAACACTATAAACAAGAAAATATTTTAGGGTGATAATGGATATTGTTATATTCCATATCAATATTTAACAAATCCTAGCTTATGTTTTGATATATGGACTATTCGTCAATTAGCTACCGATAATTTTGGTCGAGAAAATTGGGATACTTATGATATGACTGATTATATACTTGCTGGTAGAAATCGTGAATTTAATGATAGTTTTGATGATAATGATGAAATTATTGAAACTTTTGATGAAAATAATGATTCTGATGATGATGGTGATGATAGATATGATTATGATCGACGAGGTGGTGGCTTTGATCGCCCTTGGAATCAATATCAAGATTATGGAGGTTTGTTAATTATGTTCTATTTTTAATCTGTAATTTGGATTTACTATTAGGATATAATCAGTGGCAAAATAATGTTGATGATAGACACCGTGAACCATTCAGAGGTAAATATTTGAAATAATATTATTAAACAAAAACTGTTGTTATTATTAGGCTATTCCGGTGGTGGAAATTTTCCCCATTCACCTTATGATCAATTTCGAGAAGACAATTATTGTAAGTATTAAAAAAACAAGTATTCACTGAATTATCTTGTTAATTTTAGTTAATTTTCGTGGTGGTTATCCAGGTTTTGGTCAATTTATGAATAATGGTCCAAATTTTTTTAATAACCAATTTCCTCCACCGCCCTCATTTTCTCCGTATCAATCATATGGACAAACCTATGGTTATAATGGCCCCTTTAATAATTTTTTTAATCCCTATTTTTGATAAAATAAAAACACATAAAATGTAAAAAAATGAATAAATAGATTATAATCTAAAAATGAACATGAATTTTGAATACTACTAGGATAACGAATGTTTTTTCCCATTAAAGAACAATTTAAATCAGTAAATGTTCGATGATCAAATAAACGTGCATGAATAATTCCATTTGGCATAAGACAAGTTGTTGATTGAAATAATGATGATAAATTTCTATGATAATTATTAAACGAAAATATACGTTGATAATTTCGAAGTTGAACACAATTACATTTTGGTGTAGAAAATAAAGTTGTAAATGTTGAATTTGATAATGTTTTTAAAATAATTTTCATTAAATCTAATGAAATCATTTGAAATTGATCAGAATTTGGTAAAATTGATTGTAATGAAAATGTATTTGTACGAATAACAAATGTTTTATTTGAATTATTCCATTGATGTGCAAGATCAATCCATTGTGTTACGGTTAATGAATTTTTTATAGACATAATTGAACTTGATGATATTAAATTAATAAATTTAAGACGTGATAAACTAAGTAAATATTCGAAATAATCAATTGTTTTTAATGGATTATTTTCTATAATTAATATTGTTAAATTATCTAATGAACGAAAAAGACTACTATCAAGAATTTCTATTTGATTATTTGATATATCAAGTATTTGTAAATATTTTAATGAATATTTTTCAAAATTTGGAATTTTTTTTATTTGTGTATTACTTAAATTTAAATGAATCAATTGTGATAAACATGATAAATCAATATATTGAGAGTTAAAATATGAACCACTTAAATCAAGTATTTCAATATTTGAATATGTACATAAATGTAATGGCCAACGAATTAAAGCATATGTTGCAATAATTTTTGTTATATTTATTGAAATAGTCGAACTAAATATTGGTAAATCTGGTAATGAATGTAAACAATTGATAAGTGTAAATGAATTTTCAGTTAAAAAACATTTGCAAGGTGTATTAGGAATACACGAAGAAATATTTGCAGAATTCGTTAAAGTCAATAAAAAGCAAAGAAAAATAAGAATTTGATGAACTTTACACATATTTTATTCGATGAATGAAATGTATATATGATGAACATTAACTGTTCATTTTTTTTTCTTGTCTTTCAGACTCTATTTGACTAAACATGCTTACAGATATTATCTGTAATTCGATATCACACACACACACTCTTTTATTTGCTGTTCAAGCAGTTAACTCGACGTGACCATTTACAAATGATAAAGCTAATGTATTTAGATTTATTTATATAATTAAAACAGCTCAGTCATGTTCTCATTTAACAGGTTTAGACGCAATACAGAATAATTTTCAAAAAATGATTTTTAAGAAGTCGATTTTTGTTTTATCTTCTTTTCGACATATTTTACGTATTAATCTTTTCCTTTCATCATTAGCCTTGATTGACTTCAGTTTTATTGACGAAAGACTATCCTGTAAAAAAAAAAATCTTTTTTTTTTTATTCTTTTGAAGTTACATGTATAACATTGCATATTCGATTTCAAAACGGTGAAATAAATTTGAAACCATTGCTAACACGATGAACTTTATTGATTGAAGGACAAAAGAAATAAGATAAATATTTGCTTGTAATTTACCTTGTATTATGTAATTTTTTTTTTATACTTTTCAATAAAATTTTTCCTTTTATTTTAAGAGTCAAAAAAAATTTCATTTTCGATATTTTCCTAGCAATTGATTATTGTTCTAAAACAACTACTAGGTCTGAGCAAAAGTTCTGACAACATTAAAAAAAATAAGAAAATAGAGAGATATTTTTCATTTTATTTTATTAAATGTTCGAAATAGTCGCCATGATTATTTATACAAAGTTCCATCCTTTTTAATAGTTTGTCGAAAGTATTTTTAAACTCTTCTGGAATATTTTTGACCACCTTGGATACCGCACGAGCCAATGATTTTTCATTTGGTTGGTCAGATAAATTATACTTGATGTAATCATTTAACCAATAATCACATGATGCAAGGTCAGATGAATATGGTGGATGCGGCATTATATTGATACGTTCTTCTGCTAAATAATTAATAGCATCAGAATGACGATGAGGTCCCGCATTGTCGTGAAGCAATTTTATACCTTTTGTACCTGCTGACTTTCTTTGTTTCCATATTTCCTTGACAACAGGCTTGAGGCAATTTTCAATATAATAGTTGTGATCTATTGTCTTGCCTTCATCAACACCATGTATAAGAGCAGGACCATTTGATTTAAAGAATATACAAAATAAATTTTTTGGTTCAAATTTGCTTCGACGAACGATAGTAGTTGGTGATTCACCTTCATCAATCCAGGTTGCGTTTGTTGACTTGTGATGAATCTGCCTATGATAAATCCATGTCTCATCACCTGTTATAATATCACATAATCGTCAGGAACCATCTTGAAATTTCGTTAAATTTTCACGACAAAGTTGAACTCTTTGTTGGTTTTGTTCATCAGTCAGTTGATGGGGACTCAACGAGATGTAACTTTTTTCATCTTGAGACAGTCGTGGATAATTCGTTCAATTGTGCCATGAGAGAGAGATGTCTCCAAGGGGGAAAAATCGGATCCTGGTGGATCCTGGGATCCATTAGGATCCATTAGGATCCATCAGGATCCATTAGAACTCATTATCATTTATGAAGATAGATTAACGTTCTGAATAGCCACAAAAGCAAGGAAATCAACCAGATTCATAAAATAAGGATGCATAATTCAAAATATGTTCTGGATGAATCAATGGGAGCACCATGTGCTATTTATACAACTATGACTAGTCTACTTTACAAAGGAAAAACGGACCTTGAGACATCCCACGATCTATTGGACTCCATCCGAAGCCATTAGAATATATGGAAACAAAGTAAACAGACGAAGAATTGGCCCTAGAATTTTTGAAAACAAAGAAAAAAGAAATCTCGGAGATTGAGAGCCTGGTGGGCCCCAATGAACTTTTGAGTATCTGAATGAGTTCTGCGGTTTATACAATAGAATAAGATCCATCAAGATTTAGGTGTTCCTGATTGGTTTCAGATTATTATGATGCTTGTTAATTTCTGCTGAATTCTTCTGGATTTCAAAAGATTGTACTAGATAGTGTTGAATTTATGCTAGAGAAAGCTCAAGTCTTTTTGAGCTAGATTTCTGACATAGGCAGCAACGGCGCTGCACAGGTTCACCATTTTTTCCGGGGAAAATGCGAAAAACGGAAAAAAGTGTGTACCCATAAAATTTTAAGATGCCGACAGAATTTTAATTGAGATTCAATCAAGATCGTAACAGTTTATTGCTATTTCCCAATCATATATCGTCGAAGAAGCTGCTAAATCTTGAGAAAGCCGTGTAGCCACGGAATTTCAAGACCTCGACAAGGTTCACAACAAGATTCTATCAGTATCCTGAGCAGTTTACCAATGCAATTAAAACAAGAAATATGTTAATAGAGGGTCAAATCCTCAGAAAAACGTGTAGGCACGAAATAAACACGATTCTGTGATTAGAACAAAATCTTAGAGAAATTCTGAGTCATTTTGTATTGACTTTATGTCAAGCTCTTCTCAGAATTTCAATAGCTTCTAATTGGAAAATATTTTCTGATTGCACCTCGCAGAACTCCACTTCGATTCTGTAAGGATGATATCCGATGTATTGTCAAAATTTTTGCAGGATTCTCTAAACAGAAAAGAGAAATGAACGCACATTATTGATTTCTATATGTTCAGTTAAAAAACTGATTAGTTCACCGCAGTAGACTGTACCATACTATTTAATTTAACGCAAACCTTCTGTATCTCGAATTCCCTCTGCACTATTAACTTGTATTTGAACTTTATGCAAACATAAGTTATTTGAACAAAAATTCAATATAAACTTAATCTATTGATTACTTATCATAAAATTTTACTATGACTGGTTGATTTCAATTTGAATAAAAAGGTATTTTTCTGATTAGCACGAACAAATAAAATCCAGTACAAGTTTTATTGAAGTACTCGTCCTTTACTAAAAGCTTTTTTTAAGAAAAAGTTAGTGCAACAGTTAACTGATATTAAAATCTCCATTTTAATGAGTTTGCAAGTTTTATATGAAAATAAAATTCAAAAAATAACTGAGTTCCATGCTGTAAGTGTCATGCAATATTGAAGATAAATATTAAAAATCTTTGACGAGGAATCTTCAAAAATCATGTCAGAATTCTTCCATTCACTGGCAAATAGAAACAAAGGAATATTAGAATGAAATTCAGGTACCTTCTTGATCTTCTACATTCCTGTCAGAACCGGAACAAAACACATTGCAAATTTCTCATTGTCATTTTAGTATAGTTACTGTTAAAAGTTTATTTAACAAGCACAATTTGAGTTTTTGAGATTCAAAAATATTCGAAGAATCTTAAATAGGAACTGTTAAGGATTTTGGTGGAAACATTTTATAATTTTATTCAAAATCCTGAACCAGATCAGTCATAGATCTTGTTACAATCCTCAAGATCAAGCTTTAGTAGACTCTAAATGAAAATGGTAAAGATCTTCGTCTAATCTTGATATGCTTTCAGAAAGATCCTGGCCATCCTTGACCTTCTCTAGGAAGGATCCGAAATGCTTGTCCTTGAAGAGACCCTAAGACAACCCTGAAAATGTTCAGAAAAGATATTCGTAAGAAGAATGCTTAAGAAAATTAGATAGAATCGTGATTGAATCTTAGAAGAATCCACTACCTGAGGATTTTCATTGCTCTTCTATTAATTCCTTGTAGGATCTTTGCCTTATTTAACTGTAAGCAGGAGAGGACCATGCCGCAAAGATCCCAAACGAATTCTGTTAAAACTATAATAGAATCTAAGCGATATTCTTTCTGTAATCCCTATCAAGGTTTTGAGTAAGGTCAAGAGTGAATCCTAGTATGATCCATCATGTAAAAATAATAAAGAAATCTGAGTGAGAACTTGAAAAGATCCTGAGAAGAATATTTTTTTCACAATGAAATATCCTGCAAACCAGTATTATTAAAATTGAAAACGGAACCCTGAATAAAATATGACATGAATCTTCAGATTCAGGAGCCCAAAATGTTCTTTCACACTTTCTCAAGGAAAAACAGGATTAAGAATAAAGTAGAGCGTTGCTCTAAGTTCTGACATCCTTATTTTGACGGAGAAAAGCGGATTCTAGAGTCCTAAGAGATTTTAGAATATATTTCTAGAAGTGTACCAAAAGCGGTCACAGATTACCGCCATTGGCTATAATTCAACACAATCCATTACAATTTATCAGAGATAACTAGAATGCAATAGAAATCATCATGTATTACAATAATATCAAACCGATCGAGGAAGCGTAAATCTTCATGGATCCAAAAAATACGCAGAATCCATGATGATATGCCAAAATTTACCAAGACATAATCACCTCGGTATCCTGGATCTTTTTTTCTCTTTACTTAGTTACAAATTCTGAAGTCACTATTCCATTTTCTCACTTAATTTATTTGGATCTTAAAGAATTCTCATGTCCATTAAGATCAACTTTTCCATCCCTGTTTCTGTACGCTTGAAATAATTTATTCTACAATTCATCAGGATCCATCAAGATTCACCAGGATCCACCAGGATCCGAGGATCCAGGATCCGCTTTTTTCCCCTTGGATGTCTCAACTATAATTTCATCATAAGTTGAATGTGGATCATTGTTGATAACTTGTCGAAATAGTTCAATATTTTCATCTGTAAGTTCGGATACTGGACGACCAGATCGAGGATCATCATTGACATTCTCTTTCCCTTCACGAAAACGGTTTGCCCATCTGGCGACTGTACGATATGATGGAGCGTTAGGTTCTAATGCTGCTGTAAGTTCTTCGTGAATTGTCTTTGCATCAATTCCCAAAATAGTTCGAATTTTAATATAGTATCGATCGAATTCATTAGCCATTTTAAAAATTTTTTTTCAGCTCGAATTAAAGCTTATCTGAAAAAGTATTGTAACTAAGTCTAAAATAGAGTTAGTATATATATCATTATAGACAAGACATTCTACTATTTATTCATGCAAGAAACCTTCTCACTATTAATTGGTTTATGAAATTGCCAATAGCGTTACCAGAACTTTTGGTCAGACCTAGTATATCTACTAGAAATTTTTTCATTTAATAGATTTTGTATTAGCATACTGAAGTTTAAAAAAAATGCATGAATTCCATATACGAATGATCTTGTAAGAATCATAAAAGAAAGATGATTTCAAATACATTTGTTTTATCTATTTTCTTTATATACAAAAATATTTAAGAATGAACGCTTCACATATCTTACCTGAATCATCTTCTAAAATGACTCAAGTATTTCATAGTAAAAAAAATCAAAAAAAAAAAGAAAAAAATCTGATAAATTCACACAATAATACAATGCAAGAGACAGGTTCTTTGTTTTCTATTTATTATTGTTCTCTTTCACATTTATACAATAAATAACACTATCGTCACTCGGCGATGTATTTTTTTTAAACATACATTGTATAAAATAAAACATCCTAAACAAATTGATTTATCGCGTAAATCCAAATACTTCAATTTCCATTATTTGAAAATGTTCGTTGCTTGATAATGGTTTATTAGCATATGTATCACATTGTCTTGTACTACCTTCATTTAAATCACGTTGAATACATAAACCAATATTAAGTGGTTCTTTACTACCACCCAATAATAAACGTTCATCATCACCATATATAAAATAATCTTCATATGCTTTTGTACTACCTTTTGTTGATGATTGACAACCAATCCATCTAAATACTTGTCGTTCTGGTTTTAATGTAAATAAAAATGATTCACCTGTACCAAACCATGTTCGTGTTTTTGTACGATTTGCTAATTGGCCTGAACAAAAACCTCCGAAAATTTGTTGATTTTCATTACGTATAATAATAAGACAATATTCATGATATTCAACATGATCATATAAAGTTTGTAGACGACGACCATGAATATTTGATGAATAAATACGTTCAGGTTGAAAATCAGTAAGACGACCTGGAATTAATGACCAAAGATAAGCAAAATCTGAATGACTTGCAGTTGTTGTATCAAATTCACGAATCATTATTATTGGCATAGAATTTTGATGATGAATTGGACGATTTATAAGAGATTTTGGAATTGATGTAAGATTTAATGCTGGTTGATCACCTGCAGATGATGAACGACGAAGAAGTGGCATTACACGACGACGTTCTAATTTTATTTTTTCTTCTTCAATCTAATTAAAATAGTAAAAGTATAATTAAAAATTTGTCAAAACAAAAGATAATCATCAAGAAATTTCGAGTGTTTATTGCTAATTCTCGGTATGGTTCTTCTCTATAACCACATTCAAACCAATTCAAATATAAATTTTTCATTTTATGCTTCAGAATAAAAACTTACTTCTCTTCTTTATTAATTGTGACTACAATAAAAATGAATTATCTCATCGAAAATATACTTATCTTGCATATCTTTACTTACATTAATGCAAAAAACTAACAGTTCTCATGAATTTATATAGATGAAGCAATGTCAAAAAGAAAAAGACAGTCTCTACTATTCATTTTTTTATATAGAGGGTTTCTTAAGAGAGATATAAGTAATTATGTACGAATTCGAAAATTCGATCAAGTTCAGTTTCAATTATTTATGAACAGTACTAATTTTCTGTGAGGATATTTATAGTCCTTCAGTATTTGGATAATTGATTCCATTGTATACAAATCTACTTAGGTCCGTTTATCAATTATTTAATAAAATTATCTATTGTCCATTTCAAAATATAATGTGCACCACTGTTTTTTGAATAACTCACGAATGCAATCATCTAGAGGTCTGTGGTTTTCACCAATCGATAGAAGAGATAGGGGCACGTCTTTTACTCCAATATTGTATAAGACGAAATCAATTTAAAATCAGTAATTTCTACAGAACATTGCAAAAAAAACGTGTAAAAACGGTATGTCATTTACATGAAATTTTAACCTAAAGTAAGAAAATTTGCTTAAAAATTGAAATAAATTCAGTTTTCGTGCTAGTAAATAGACGATTTTATTTAGTCCACATTAGGATATGGAAAGATAATCATTCGAATTATATATTGAACTATAGATCTGAAGTCTCTCTATCTAGATCACATGTCAAAATCAAAATTTCATCTAAATGGCATACCATTTTTATACGTTTTTTGCAATGTTCTGCAGAAATGACTGATTATAAATTGATTTCGTCCTATACAATATTGAAGTAAAAGACGTGCCCCTATCTCCTCTATCGATTGGTGAAAACCGCAGGTCTCTGCATGATTGCATTCTTGAGTTATTCAAAAAATAGTGGAGCACATGATATTTTGAAATGGACAATAGTGTCTATATCTACATATCTTTTAAGATTCATACAGTAAAAATTATTACGAAAAATATAAAATCTATACATATATATTGAAAAGATTCAATTTGTTTCATATTAACGAATATATTTTATCATACCTCAATAGCTCGAAAAATTTCTTTTCGTTGTAAATGAGAAATACCAAAAGCATGTTTAAAAAATTTCTCCATTGGTAAATCAAAATGTTGTATATAATTAATTAAATTTTCATAAACATTTGTATTTGTTTTATATGATGATGTTGATGATGATGATGATAGTTGATTATCACAACGTACTGATTTACGTGTAGAAATTGATAAACGAAATATTGAATCACGTCGTCGAGGTTTTATTGGTAATGTTTGTTGATTTGAACCATATTTAACAAAAAAATGAAATAATGTCATACTTATACGTATAAGAATTTTCATATCTTCAATTAAAAGACAATCAATTATTGGTACAAGATATGTAAATGGTAAATGTTCAAATATAATCCAAAGCCATTCATCAAATAGACATGGTTGTTGAGATTGTCTATTAAGATATTCATAAACTGAACGACAACGTCGACGTAATATTGAACGAAATGCTAATGATAATGATTGATATTGAATTTCTGTTTGAGTTATTATTTTATAATCATTACTTGTAAGAATTAATAATGATTCATATGCATCAATTTCTGTCATATAATGTAAAAATAAAGCTGTCATTGGTGCAAGTAATGGTGCCCATGTTATATCAGGATGATAATAAGCAAATACACTTAATATTCGAGTTACAGCATGTTGACCTCTTCGATTTAAATGATAATGAGGTAAATGATTAGCATCAACACATGATGGAAGACGAACAGTTATATCATTTCGACGACCGAACATATTTCTAAAGAAAAATAAATCGAACAAATTTTATTTAAAGAAAAATTATGTTAACAATAGATTTAAAGGTACTCAGTTAAAAATTGAATAAATCAAAAAAAGAAAAAAAAACAGTACTTCTTAACAATCTATGACTTTCGATAGTAGAAAGTAGAAATAAGGGAACACTGTTGGATATAAATTTGGATCGAATATTTAGTAACTCTATCAAAAATCACCAAAAACAATTATATTCAAAAGAAATTTCTTGAATAAATATATGCCATAGAATCATTTCTTTTTTTTTTTGAATTTTCTTTATAGATGAATTACATAGAGGGATAACAGATATTTAATAATAAACAATATTTTTCTTCTTTGAAAAATCGGAGAATAGTACGATAAACTTGTACAACCGTTCAATAAAATATGTCCATAATAATTCATCTATAAAAAAAGAAAAATTGATTTCATAGATTATTAATTCAAGCTAGTCTTTCAAAAATAATTTCGTTTTCTTTTTGAAATCCTAATGAATTATAAATCGAAATCCTTTTGATATTGATATTACACCTTTGTTCGCATTACAAATGATTTTCATTCTGTTTTAATTACATGAAAATAATGATACAAAGAGATAACTTTCAAACTTCGTTCTTTACATTTGAAAAATAACTTAAATTCTTATTGATTATTAAATGATATCTGAAAATTAAATTTTGAAACTTTCTTCAAATCCTTGCAAAAATTTACATGTCCTTTTCGAAGCTTAGGATCAAATCGGAGTACATTATCTTTGAAAAGCACAATACTTGGTAGGAGGAGCACTATGAAAAAAATGTATTTTTTTTTTCAATGAAACTCATTTCTTCAAGGTTGTCGAAAACACACACACACACTTGGATTCGATCAAACTAACTATAAAAGTGTCTTTGGCTCTACTTTATGAGAGAAAAAAATATAAGAATTTTCTTCGTTTTTATTCAAAAATTAATTTTGAAAACACACAATCAGGTAAAATTTTAGTATTTTAATGTGTACCCGTGTCCTCTATTATTCATTCTGCGTCATTACAAGCTATCTAATGTTGCACATTGAATACACACCTAAAGTGTTATTTCAAAGAAATATTCATCAAATAATATTAACACTTCCGTATGGTGAAAGAATCTTTAATTGAATATGTTACAGATTTCAAGGTCAGTAGTTAGTTTGTTTATTCTATGGGCACCTTTCAAATAGTTCCAAATGAAGAGAAATTTTCACAAGAGTCTGTCGGATCTAGTATATTTGGTGGGTAACCAGATTCTAATCCATATCTAGTCGGATCCAGAGTCATTCCAACTAGACGATATATAACTCTATCAGCATCAATAAATGCCTAAGACTAGCACTAGAAAATCATCGACTGTTTTTATTAGCAGACATTGTAAAACATCTTGAGAAATACAAAATTGCACAACCGAAAAAAAATTTTTTTTCGAGAGGGGGAATGGCGGAGGAGAATGAAGAAGCTTAATTGGATGCTAACAATATTTTATATTAAATATTTGAAAAAGATACATATTGCACATCACTATTTGCATTTATTTTAAGATCTTTAAGTGCTTTTCATCATTATACTCGTTTGTTACAAATGACCTATTTTAAGGTAATAGTAATTGCGTAAAGAA